ATTGATGTGGGGAGGGGGGTGGTGCTGGGGGTTATCTAAGAGCTATAAGGAAAATAGACGGTTCCGTCTCAACCGCCTCCCCTTCCCAGCCCTTGTCTTCAGCCGGGGGGGGGGGGGGGGGGGGAACGCACCTGGGTGGTGGACGATGGCCAGCTTGCGGTAGGCCTTCTTGATCTCGAGCTCGGAAGCCGTGGGTTGAACACCCAGAGTGTCGTAGTATGCGGTGTCCGCAACCATGATGGCGGTGGGTAGGAGAGATTATTCGGAGGGGGGTATCGGGGGTCGGATTCTCACTGAAGAGGGCAGAGGTGGGTTGCTATTCGTAGCAAAGGCGATCTGGCGATATAGGAAGAGTAGGAGAAGAAGATCTTAGTAGCGGTCGTTGTTTTGTAACGGTCAGATGGCCAAGTTGGAAAAGCATATGGAAATCCGGTGCCTGAAGGTTAGGTAGGTTGGTTCCCTCACCTGGTTGATGGCGGGCAAGTGGTACGTACCTCCCGCTCCCAGGTGCTTGTGCTTGGGGGGCAGCGTTTTTGCGAAGCCCCGCCAAATTACGTCGTCGGTCAGCCCAAGAAATGAGTCGCCAACTCAACCAGTGGCGCTGGCACTGGCACTGGCACTGGCACTGGCAGTGGCGGCTCCGCCTTGGATCACCACAGGCAAAACTCAGCGTCTGGCCACTGTTGTCACAACGGTCCGCCAGACAACCTTGTCCATTTTCGGGGGCCGCTCGGAAAGCGCATTACGTGTACCGCGGCTTGGAGGGGCTTATGACGTTGCTACTTCTTTTTCCATTGCTTCCACCACACCATGACATTTGCCCAGGGTCGGTCACTTGGCGGCTCGTTCTCTCGGACGCTCCGGCAGAATATTGAGGCATCGACACCAGTACATCGATTTTCATAGCATTTCAATCCTCGCGCCTACGAAAGGTCTGCCTCTGCAACTCCCCTCCACATCAAGCTGTGGATGCGCCTTGGAAGCATGCGTCTGCACACAGTACCTCAGAATCTCACTCACTTTACGACCCTGAACGCCTGCCAACGACATGCTTGGACCCTCCTTACGCATTTCGCATTATGCTCGACATCTCAATTAACACCAGCAGCCTTCATCCGCTGGAAACAGTTCCGATACGCGTCGTGCACCTCGGGCACCTCGTACCCGTACTCCTTCAGCTTGCTGACGAGCTTGGTCGTGTCGAGCTTGCAGTTACTGCGCCCGGCCTTGATGACCTTGGCCTGTTCCTCGAGCGAGAAGTTCTTCCAGGTGAAGTCGGGCCGCACAATCTCCTTGAACAGGCTGAGCACCTCGTTGTGGGAGATGGCGCCTGGGTTGGTAAAGTTGAAAACGCCCGTGTCCCTGTGCTCCGCCATGAGGATCGAGGCCGGCAAGAGATCGTGGAGGATCGTGTTGCTGTTGGGAATGTCCACGACCCGATCATACTTGCTGATCTTGGTGACAAAGTTGCGCGAGTGCAAGTCGTCGCTGACGGGCATGCGCAGACGCAGGATGAGGCAGTTGGTGTAGTGTTTCATGATCTGGCCCGAGTTAGCTTTTGGCCGAGTTGGGCTCGACAGCCGGAAACGCTCACCTCCTCGACATGGCCCTTGGTGTCTGAGTAAAAGCTGCCCTTGAAATTGGCGGCATCCGTCTCGAGGTAGCCGGGCCCGCCAATAGGGTGAGCGTCATCATACTGGTAGATGCAGCCAGTCGCAAAGACGGTACAGTGGATGCCCTTGAGGAAACAGGCGTCGGCAAGGTTGAGGGTGCCGATGGCATTGGATCGCATCGTCGCCTCCTTGTTGTCCTCGCACCAGTCGACATTGGGCCGGCCTGTGCAACCTGCAGCGTTGAGCACGTGGGTTGGCCTGACCCTGTCGAGCTCGGCGAGGACGCCCTCGCGGTTCTCCATGCGAACAGTGGTTGTGTGAACCTCCTTGCCAGCGGCCTCAAGAAGACTCTTGAGGTGACCGGCTACCCAGCCTTCGCCGCCCCAGATGAGGAAGCGATTGGGGCCCGAAGAGCCGCTGTTGGCACCGTTCGTAACTGACATGGTGACCGCTGAGGTATGCTGAGCTGAGTGAGTAAAACGACGATGTTCCACAGTGGATGCTGTTGTCGATCACAGGCACGGGAGAGGCACAGGATCCGCAGGCTAGATGCAATTGAGGACTGGAAACGCTGGAGATGCGATGTCTGTTGTTGTTCAGAATGAGAAGACGAGCCGCAATCGAGGGAAGCAGAAGAAAAATGAAAGCGATCAGGAAGGAAGGGATAGAGTTAAGAAGTAGTGTCTCGTGGCAGGAACGAGGCAAGGGGAGGGGGCCAACTGTGACTGCGACTGCGACGAAGCACTGGGCTCAGACCAATGTCAGGCAAAGCGTGTTGAACCTTGAACGGAAGACCGGGGAGCGATGGTCGCACAACCTTCACTAATTACTGCTCCATCTGAAGCTTAATCGCCTCGTCTCGTCTCGCATTGACAACGACATTTGCGCGGCAAATGGGACGAGGGTATGCAAGCTGGAGAAGCTCCAACTTACGTCCTTTGTTTCCATCCCAAACAAGCTCCCACATCCCCTCTCGCTTGGAGCCCCCCATCAACACCATGACCATGTACTTGTAGAGCTCCTACATGTTGATCAGAGCTCGAGGTACCGCCATTACAATGTTGCCTCTCGTCGTTGAGACACGCCAAATGTATTGGGAGGAACCCAATTGATCGGGAGAGCCGTCTCCATTGAACTATCTTCGCCTGCCCTGTCTGGCTTTCCCAGTGTCGCATTTTTGGCAATCCGTCTCAACGGCCACGCGGCGGTGAGCTTGCGGGGTCGAGCGTAACCTTTGGGGAATGAGCCGCCATTTCGAAACCATCCACCACTGCGGCCGTTTGGGGTACAGCCGAGTCATACCTCCTGGGCCCGTGTGCGCCGACCAGATTGGAACCGCTCAGGTGCAGCATTACCGACACGGTACTTCGAGGGGTTGGCTGACCAGTATCCGCCTGTCGACGGTCTTATTGGGGTGAGGTCATCAGCGCAGTCGCTTGGACCACTGTCAATGTACAGTAATGAAGCTTGCCAAACAGCCTCAGATGACCATGGTCGAGAGTAACGAGTTGCTCTAGTGGCCTGGTGAAGGAGACTCTGCCAAAGCTAGACAGGTTGTACGGGCTTCTGCGCCCAAGACTGTTCTGGCGGCCACTGGCATGGAGAGAAGCAATGGGTGAGTTGAGGATGAATAGTTGAGGCATTCGTTGACGAAATATGAATCACATCCGGCAGGCGGACAGTATACTCACAAAGACTAGCATGTGGTATCGAAATGCATAGTATGCGATGCTGCCTGGAGCAGGCAGCATGTTTCGATGGCCGCGACATGAACCACGCAAGCCTGTACCCGTCTGGTGGAGCCATGAACACAGAGAGAGACAAGCCGATGTCAGAAATGCAATGGGTTCAAGCCTACAAACCAAGGCGCGATCAGCTTGAAAGACGGGTTGTAATACATTCGGGCTGCCCTCCGGTGGCGCCGTCGGCCATGTCCTTCAAGACCGGTCTCATCCATCGGCACCGCGTCGGCACTGTCTCTTGATCAATACTGAACCATTCCAAGGCGCCCACGGAACGCCGACTCGGCACCGCTCACACTGGCTGGGCTCTCGGGCGGTCGGTGTAAAGTCGCACGCGGTTTGTGTGTGGCTGGCACCTGTCACTGGCAAAGCCTCCTGGCAAGCACCAAGTGTAGCGTGGTCCAGTGTGCAGTGCTCTGGAGCTGGGCCAAGCAATCATAGGTAGTGGCCAATTGGCTCGCTTAGGAGATTCACGCCCCTCTCAGCATCAGAGTGTGGCCTCACAGGGCGTTGTCATAACATGCTGACTACTCAGGCACATACCTTTCTCCAGATTCAATTTGACACCAGCCAGTCATCGTACCCTTTCTGGTCCAAAGGTCCCGTCATTTCGGTCAGGGCAACTTGCTCTACCCACTACCCACGAGCACCCCCCAAGGCCGATAGGGGGGTGCCTGGAGCAAAGTGAAGAAAGCCAAGTGGAGAATCTTCGGCCCCCTTCTCCTCAATCTCCCCAAGCCCCAAATGGTGCTGAATTCTTCCATCCATCCATCTTGGGTGTTCTCCTCACCTGCCACCTCCTCACATCTCCTCCCCCCTTCCAACACCACCACCTCCTCCTCCGCCGCCGCCGCCGCAACCTCCCTCACCACTCTCGGCGATTACAAGAGCGAATGTTGACCACTTGATTGCGGCCAACATATAAACGTTCTCTTCCTCCCCTTCACGACACCGCACTTGGAACGAATTTTGATACCCCATCCGAGTCGCGTCTCCCAGAAGAATACTCTACTTTCTTCTCTTTCCCTTCCCACACAGCGTCCCCAATCTCGACGCGTTCTTTCACGCCGACTTCTCTTCCCCGCACTCGTTGCCGCTGTCGCTGGCATATCCGTCATCATGGGTGCCCTCTACTACGCTTTCCACCCAAACCAATTGCGGTCCATCATTCAATGGTACGGCGCCCCTCCGCCCTCTCTGTGCCCACGTGCTCGACTCGTTCTGACTATTTCCACAGGAAGATGTGGCACGATCCCGTTCACAGGCGAACGCCCGAGAAGGAGAGCCCCGAACTGCGAAAGTGCTTCGAGCTGCTCGACTTGACGAGCCGTAGCTTTTCGTCCGTCATCCAGGAGCTCAACCCGGAGCTTCTCGTTCCCGTCTGCCTGTTCTACCTCTGCCTCCGCGGTCTCGACACCATTGAGGATGACATGACGCTCTCTGTCGAGAAGAAGGTGCCACTTCTGAGGAAATTTGACGAGTGCATGGAGACGGATGGCTGGACATTCACCGAGAGCGGCCCCAACGAAAAGGACCGCGAGCTCCTGGTCCACTTCGATGTCGTGATCACCGAGCTGAAGAAGCTGAAGCCCGTCTACTACGATGTCATCAAGGACATCACCATCAAAATGGGCAACGGTATGGCCGACTACATCAACGCCCCCTTCGGTGCCGAGAAGGTCACCGAGCACGAGCTGTACTGCCACTACGTTGCCGGTCTGGGTTGGCGAGGGGCCTCACCAAGCTCTTCGTCCGAGGCAACCTTGCCAACCCCCGCCTCGAGGAGAGGGAGGAGCTGACCGAGTCGATGGGTCAGTTCCTGCAGAAGACCAACATCATCCGCGATGTCCACGAAGACTTTGAGGACAACCGCAGCTTCTGGCCCAAGGAGATCTGGAGCAAGCACGTCGACACGTGGGAGGATCTTTTCAAGCCCGAGAACCGCGAAAAGGCGATGCAGTGCAGCTCCGAAATGGTCCTCAATGCGCTCAAGCACGCCGAGGACTGCCTGTTCTACATGGCCGGCATGCGCGACCAGAGCTGCTTCAACTTTGTCGCCATTCCCCAGAGCATGGCCATTGCCAGTCTCGAGCTTGTCTTCCGCAACCCCCGCCTCTTCGACAGCCACCTCAAGATCTCCAAGGGTGATGCTTGCCAGCTCATGATCGAGTCGACGCAGAACCTGTTTGTTGTGTGCGACATCTTCAAGCGTTACGTCCGGAGGATACACAAGAAGAACGACCCGCGCGACCCCAACTACGTCCCCATCAGTGTGCAGTGCGCCAAGGTATGTGTCTTCTGCCCTACCCAGCCAGGATCTCCCTGCTAACAGATTTGCCAGATTGAGCAGTTCATCGACACTCTGTACCCGAGGCAAGACCCTGAAAAGCTCACCGTGGAGCAGAAGAAGAAGGACGCCAAGGATCCCAGCATGGACCCTGGCGAGGCAGCCGTTCTTCTCGGCATCACGCTGCTGACGCTCCTCTTCGTCTCTGGTCTCATGGTATGTCAACAAATGCTCTTTCGCTTGTCTAGCACTCTCGATTAACAATTTCACAGATTGGCACGGCGTGGTTCTTCGGCGCACGCTTCGATGGTCTCTGGTCTGGACTCTTCGGCTCCTCACAAAACGAGACGTACAGCTGGCCGACCGCTGGCGAGGCCGTTCCCTCGGCAGTGCCTTCGATCGAGCATCCCGAGCTGTAACGTGGCAGGGAAAAAAACATTTTGCGCTTCTGCTCTTCGACATGGTACATATGACGGCGTTGACGGTTTGCTGCCCCCTTTTTTTTGCTGCGATGAACTCATGCCATACACCTACCCCGGAAAGGCAGAGACGAACTGGACTGGACTGCCTGACTTACGTATTTAATACCACCCCCGCCACAGCACTGCGTGGTGGCTTGTTCTCGACCCCGCGATGTCGCGGAAGACCCTGACCAAGCCTCCCTTTTTGTCTCAGTACACCCCGCCGTGACAGTGACTGGGTACTCGATCTCGCGAGAGCGAGACGGAACGTGATGGTGAAGAGAAACAAGAACAAGGCCGCGGCCGTAGCACGGATGTCAAATTACAATCCAGTCCCACCTCCGGGTGGCCATGACTGTGGTTGCGCCGAAGAAGTGCTGATAGTAAACCCCACCGGCAAAGACCTCGTCCTCTTCAGGGCGAGTACGGGGCGGGCGGATATCTACCTCGATGGAAATCCGCCCTTTTGCTCCGGCTTGCAAACATATCTCTGATGAAGTGCAGTTGGAGGAAGGCACTGCTCTGATTCAGTTAGTCAGCAAGGACTATAAAACGTAGCCCTGGGGGCACGTCGGCCGCAAACTAAGCCAGTTACAACAACTCTTATCCACCTTAATACCAACCTACACCCTTTTTGGTGACCACAGCAGGTCTGACGATGGCCCAGATGTCCCTCTGTAGGCCATCCACTGTAGCCTTGAGGACAACGAATTCCCGCATGGGGGTCACATTCCCATCTGATGTAGTGATATGCAGCCCTCCAAGTCCCACTAATGAGAGACTATACTTGGGAATCTGGTAGAAGTTGATGATAGCTGGGGAGATCATGTTGACCTCGGAACCCTGGTCGGCTTGCGTCGAGTTGGGTGGCATGGGGAATCTGATCATCTTGCCTCCAACCTTAGCCGTGACTATGCAGTCCACTCGATAGGGTCTGGTGGCCGTGTGCAGTCTGGGTGTCACATCTGGACCTGTTGGTCTCTGGAATCCTGGGGGTGGTCCCTCGGTCTCCAGCGAGCCTGACATGGCATGTGTCTTGGATGTGGCTCCTTTCCTGGTAGCGTACCTGCGGAGATGCTTGATAGTGTCTGGAGATATCTGCATGATCTCCATGAGGTTCACTTGGGCAGTGAACCTCTTAAAAAAAGCCAGGTAGTCAAAGGGAACGGCACCATCCCAACCAACGATGGGGGCCAGTCCATCCTGACGGGGCTTCCTGGCTTTGCTGTGGTCACCAAAAAGGGTGTAGGTTGGTATTAAGGTGGATAAGAGTTGTTGTAACTGGCTTAGTTTGCGGCCGACGTGCCCCCAGGGCTACGTTTTATAGTCCTTGCTGACTAACTGAATCAGAGCAGTGCCTTCCTCCAGCAGTGCAATGGACTCGCGTGGTGCATGCAGGATGATACCGTATCGTACAATGGGGGAAGGGGGACTGACCATGTTGTCGGAATTTGGGGTTCACTTGATAGATTGCCGATCGACGCGTGCAAGCCCAGAACTCTAATATATCTTCGTCGTCACTACACTCTACCACTTTCCCTCACCTCACGCGGCCTAGGCTAGTCTCGCTCGTCTCGTGACCTCGTTCCAGCGACGTCATGCCGCTGACAAGTCATGCCCAAGCAGCCGAGACGCGGCGGGCCCCGTCCGCAAAGCGGCGCCGAGCCTGAGACGCAAGACGTCTCGGCCTTGGCGTTGCATCCGGGAGAGGGTGGGAGAAAAGGGTTATTGCCAGCGGGCGAAACGATAACGATACCTCCCTTCACCCATTCTTCCTCTTTCTGCCGATCATGACAAGGGCTGCTGCAGGCCCCGGGAGAGAGGCGTTTTAAGCATGACTGTGCACGAGATGGATTTGAGACGTGGATCTGTGGTGATCGGTTGTTTGTTTACGGAGTGTTTTTTTTTTTCCCTTGTTCGGCCTTTCTGCCCCGTTCCCTCCTTTCTCTCTTCACCCTGGGGCCATGCGTCGATCATAAAGATGGAGGAGGGGAGGCGCTCGAAATAGAGTGATTTGCAATGCAGGCGGGTTCCGCGACTCGGGGGACAGACATGGGCTTGGTGTGTGCATTTGTCAGTCCGATGTCTGTCCGTCTGTCTGGTGGAGAAGCCCTCTTGCTAGGAATGGAGCTTTGCATAATGGTTAAGAGCGTGGCCCCGTTCTCGTGGTCAAGTTGGAACAGCAAGTCAGGCAATTTTTGCACCACCGGTCTGTTCAGCTTGTTTGTAGGCAAGAGTCAGTCAGCATGCAGCATAGCATGTCCGGTCGCGCATTTCGAGATCAAAGTCCGAGCGAACAACAGCGTGGAATAGCCGATTCAGTCATGTTCGTCTATTTTCGCTATGCAAAGCAACCATGTTGGTTTTTCTTCATCGTTTCTTCTCGCCCGCTCATGCCATGTCCATATCCCTCTTTCCATGAACCTGTGACGATGACTCCATTGATGAGAGTAGAGAAGGAAAGATCATAAAGTAAAAATAGGTTCGTCAATTAGATACAGGTCAAGATAAAATGCAGATATAATTTTTGGTTTTCTGGTCAAGTCTTGCGTCCGACGTGATGCTTCTGGGGCAAAGTATTCATCTTGTTAGATTAGTCATGGTGATATTGTCAATACGCCGCGCTTTCTAAAATGGATGAAAACCAAAACTCAAAAGGCCACGCCAAGACAACGGCCTAAGGCCCGTACCCCAACTCGTCCCGCCAGGGCAGCCCCTCCCTCAAAGCAGCGCAGCCGGCTCGGCGACACTAGAGCTGGCCGTTGTTGGCAATGAGGTTGGTGGTGCCGGGGGTGTTTCGGAGGACCTGAGCGCCCGAGGCGGTGGCGAGCTCGGTGAGACGCGAGGCGACGGCCTCGGGGGTGTTGATGTTCTCGAGAGCGATCAGGTAGGCGGCGAGGCCGGCGACGTGGGGCGAGGCCATGGAGGTGCCGGACAGGGTGTCGGTGGCCGTGTTGGATCTGATGCCGACAGAAAGGACGTCGACGCCGGGGGCGAAGATGTCGACGTCGGCGCCAAAGTTGGAGAAAGAGGCCTTCTGGTCGTTGGAAGCGTCAATGGCACCGACCGTGATGGCCTTGGGCGCTGAGGCAGGCGACGTGTTGGCAGCGTCCTGGTTCTCGTTACCAGCAGCCACGACGGGAACGACACCGGCGTCGAAGAGGGCCTGCACGGCGCGGTTGACGGCCGCAGACTGAGGGCCGCCGAGAGACATGTTCATGACGGCCTTGCCGCGGAGGTTCTTCTGCTGGACATCGTTGATGACTGTTTGGTCAGCGCCTGATGTTTGCAATCTGGGGAGGGGGGAGGGCAGAAGCAGGGAACGTACTGAATTGCAGGCCGTCGAGAACACCGGCGTTGGAGCCGGCACCAGTGCCGTCAAGGACCTTGACGGCGACAACATTGGCAGACTTGGCGACACCGAAGGTCTGGCCGCAAATGGTACCAGCGACGTGGCTGCCGTGACCGTTCTGGTCGTTATCCTGAGATTCGTCAGTACATTTTCCTCTGACCCTCAAGACGATATAAACTTACAACATTGTCGACAGTGTTGACGCCAAAGGTGGCACGGCCCTGGAACTCCGAGTGGTCGGTGCGGATACCCGTGTCGACGACGTAGACGGTGACACCCTCGCCGCCGGTCGTGTCAAAGACGTAGTTGCCGGTGCCGGCTTGAGCGTTGGACAGGCGGTTGAGTCCGGGGGGCGCGTTCATCTGGGCGACCGACGCGGAGAGCTTGACGCGGGCGTTGGCCTCGACCCAGGCGACCTCGGGCTCGTTCATGATTTGAAGGATCATGTCGTCGTCGGACTCGAGGGTCATGGCGCGCCAGCCGTTCATGGCGAGGGCGTGGACCTCGGTGCTCAGCTGGCGGCCGTCCAGGCCACGCTTGCCAATGTTGCGGCGCTTGATGTGGTTCATGACCTCGGTCTGGCGGAAGTTGATCGTGTCATCGTCAAAGGTGTTGTTGTAGACGACGATGTAGCTGTTGGAGACACGCTCGGTAGACTCCGAGTTGAGCATGGCGGAGAAGCCCTTGGCGAAGAAGTCGGCGGCTCCGGTGATGGCGCCGGCGGGGACCTCCTGGGGGGCGACGGGGATGCCCGGGATGGCGGCCCCCCATGGCGGAGAGGGGGAGAAGGAGGGAAGAGAGGACCTTGCTGATGGGAGCCATTGTTGCGGTGGTACGAGAAGACGGACGGGTGTTGTCGTGAGGTGGAGGTGGAGGTTAGGGTGAGGTGGTTGAGCTGAAGGACCGGATCGAAGCCTGCGACGAGTACAACAACAACAACAACAAGGATACAGTGAAGGTTTGATCGGAGGCTAGCTCGTCGACGAAGAGAGGGAAAGAATGTATGAACAAGAGATGTTGCAACGAGACCACAGGTCTATAAAGAGTGACAAGCGTGGAAGTGAGTGTTGTCGAAACGGAAGGAGACCAAAGGGCCCAAACGAGACGAGACTTGAGGTCAAAGGGGGTGGTGGAGAGCCAGGACACCGAATGGAACGTGTTCCAGAAAGTCAGAGAGCGACTCAGAAGATGGGACGGCCGTAGCAGGTCTATGAATGGAATACAGGATAGGTGGGCGGGGGGCCGGGGGATCAGATCAGATCGGATATGTCCGTGGGTTTGATCGATGACCGTGACTGCTCGTTGTCCGTTGCAAACGAAAATAAAAAAAGGGGCGTCTTGAGGTTCCGAAGGAGAGTGAATCCGAAAGGGAAGCTGTCGAAGACGAAGAAGAAGAAGAAAATAAGAGACGAAAAGGATAGTAGACTGCGGTGAGTTCGAGAAGTGGACGACGAATGGAAGCAAGAGGAAAGAGGAGAAGAAGACAAGACGAGACGACGAAGCCAGAGGCTTTTGACTGTTGGAGGGTTGAACAAGAAGCTGCAGGCCAGGGGGGGGTGGTCCGTCATGTGCGTGTGTTCCCAATGTGGGCAGTCGTCGACAATAGGTTTAGTGCGTTGAAGAAGGGCGTTGAATACCGTGAATGGGGTTGAGTGGTCCATTGTTCCAGACCAGAGAGGGACCGGGGTGGCTAGAGCCAGTCATTCTGGCAGGGTTGTGCATCGCCGCCTGTGTCGATGTGGTGCTGGATGATGGGTGATGGAGGATGCTTGGTGTTGGGTCATGCTAATGTCGGCTCGTCGATGCTGGAGATCGAACTTGCACGAGGCCCCAAGTGGGTTCTACAGGGGACGTCAGGAGCCTCCAGGGAAAGGGAAAGAGCCCTCAAGCAAGAGGAAAGTGCCCGCAGGGAACAGGAAAGAGCCTTCAGGGGATGCTAGGGGCACGCTGAGGGACCGTTAGGGGCCCTTGGGGCCCTCGACGCTAGGGTAGCGGGCATCAGAGGAGACAGCGCATGGCGGGACGGATCCACTCCCCTCAACCACTGCAGGAACAGGGCAGATGCCCCCTCGCCATTGGTCTGCCAAGTCAAACGCACACACCCCGGCCGTCGATCCGACCACTGGCTCCGGTTTCGAGCAGCGACGGCCCCTAATCTCAAACAGACCAGTGCAGGGGTCTTTCTTCTTTCTCTCTCTTCCCCTGGCTAGGTACTTTACTAGAGGGCAGGTCACAGCAAAATTCTGGTTCAGAGCGCCCCCGCCGCGCGCCTGTGGCCTCGCCCTCGTTGGCTGTCAATGCTCGTTCCGTCACGCTGCAAATCTCTTGTACCAGATTGTGTCGCCTTGACGTGGACCAACGAGGCTTCAGAGCTCCAGCCTTGCCCTCCGGCGTCTGAATCAATCATCGACTCACTTGGGAATCACCGACCAAGAGCCGAGCAGTCACAATAACAACAATATGCCACTACCTATGCTAGGTACCTTCGCCATCCTTCCCCTTGAAGCCGAAGCCTCTGGCCCCGGTCCTGGTGACGACTCCTTGCGGCGGCGCTTCTGGCCCTTTGGGATAATCCCCGAAATGCAAGGCACACGCCAGGAGCCCACTCTCCAGCCAAGCGAGCAGCACCAGCACCAGCAGTGTGTCAGGACGCAGCACTCTCTCCTTCTTTCTGGCCCTCTGCAGCCGCAGACACACTCAATTCTCGCCCTGCCGATACGAACCGTCCACTGCCTGCGACCGTGTTCCCCTTGTTACCTCAAAAGCCCCCGGCCTGTCACGACGAGCTCTTACTTCTTTGTCCAGGCTTGGGCCCAAAACCGTTAGGTCC